TATGGTTGTTGGTTAGAACAAGCCTGATGCATCATTTCACTTTGTGAAAATCATCTGAGACATAATATTTTGTTTGCTCTGTTTTGTTTGCAACCGGCGCTGAGCAAGATTTTGAGCATGTCAGTGAACATGCTCATGGACCTTTTTGAGCCGGGACCCACTGGATATTACTTATTGTTCATGTTTGTACTAGTAGGGGTTACTTGAGAACTAGGGAGAACACGCAAACTCCACTCAGCCGTGTTCCGACTCGGTTCGGACCCTCTTGCTGAGAAGGAAGAACGTTGGTGCTTCTGCGACCCCTGACCTAGTAGCTGGAGAGAAAGAAAATTGTATATATTTTTGTTTAATGGCTTTGTTTACCTTAAGCGGGCGGTCATCCCTCTCTAAGCCTGGGTCCTCCCCCTGAGAGCTTGAGCTTGAGCTCTGCGCAGTATCTTTGCTGTTCCTAGCACCGCACATATCTGGACTGAGATGTCCGAGGTTGTTCCAGGGATCCGCTGTAACCACTCCTCCAGCTTCGGGGTCACTGCCCCGAGTGCACCGATCATCACAGGCACTACTGTCACCTTTACCCTCCAGGCCCTCTCCAGCTCCTCTCTGAGCCGTTGGTATTTCTCAAGCTTTTCGTGCTCTTTTTCCTGTCATCATCGCTTGGAATTGCCACGTCCACCACCACGGTTTTCTTCTGCCCTTTGTCCACCACCACGATGTCAGGTTGGGTCCCCATTACCATTCAGTCGGTCTGTATCTGGAAGTCCCACAGGATCTTCGCACGCTCATTTTCCACCACCTTTGGAGGAGTTTCCCACTTAGACCTTGGGGTTTCCAGCCCATACTCTGCACAGATGTTTCTGTACACTATGCCAGCCACTTGGTTATGGCGTTCCATGTAGGCCTTCCCTGCAAGCATCTTGCACCCTGCAGTTATGTATTGGATCGTCTCAGGTGCCTGTTTGCACAACCGACACCTTGGGTCTTGTCTGGTGTGGTATATCTGGGCCTCTATCGCTCTGGTGCTCAGGGCCTGATCCTGTGCAGCCATGATGAGTGCCTCTGTGCTGTCCTGTAGGCCAGCCCTTTCTAGCCATTGGTAGGACTTCTTGAGTAGAGCCACTTCTGCTATGCTCCGGTGGTACATGCCGCTATAGGGGCTTGTTCTCCCATGATGGGCTCTCCTCCAGCACCTCCTCATCTTGCCACTGTCTGAAACATTCACTGAGTACATCATGCCGTACCTCAGCTATACAACATGCAACTTAAGATCTTACCTTACCAACCATACTTGGAATCATGTGATATATAGAAACAATGAGTTGACCTTTGTTTTTTTTTTGTTTTTTTACACATCTCCACATGCCGCGGTTTGTGTGGGTGATGTCTGTTATAAATAGTGCAATTGATGTGCTCAAGAATCTACAGAAGCACATGGTGCATTCTTGATTAGCCTGAGGAGCTACAAAGGAGAACCTGGGGACATTTGGCTGGATTCCTCCAAATGCTTCAGAAGCCTGTAACATGTGATCAGATTGGCTTGTTTCACTCACCACATGATTTATTTATGTGATTGTCCAATTGACAGTGAAGTTACAAGGTTAAATGTGAGACACCAGTGCACTATGCATGGGAAACATAATTAAACTGTAATTATTTGAACTGTAACTAAATTTGCCCTATAGTTGGATAAAGTCAATACAATATGATTTTATTTTAATTCCCCGCCTTAATATTTCATCTTTTGCGTACTTGTAAGGAGCCCTGTGAGTCACTATGTGACTATTTGGGCTGAGAGTTGATTGGTTAAGTGAAGGCGGTCCTCTCTATTTCAGTTTTTTGTCTGTTAAAGCTATAAGGTTAGTCCAAAAAATATCTGTGAGAATTAGCTAAAGGAACTGTTTCATATTTCTTGTGAAGCAAGCTACAATTCTGTAATCAAATGTAAAGTACAAAAACAAATATACTGTGTATTTTCTAACATTTAAATGCACATTTGATTCTAAAGTAACAGACAAGACTTTGTCTTAACTGTTACAGTTAGCTGTGAAAAAAGCGTGTAATTGTAAACTAAATTGTCAGGCTTCTATCTTATTGTCTCGTATGCAGTGAAATCACTAACCTACCATAAATAATACTGTTAGTTGCCAGCTTTGTGTTTCACAATAATGCATAGATTGTCTAACTTAAGGATTGGACCATATGTCTCTTAAAACACCATAACAAAGCCTGTCAGGCCTTTTCTGGCTGTATGCAATTATCTCTGAATTCATTAAGAACCTTGATACACGTTGTGCCTTACAGATGTGTATGTTGGCATATCTCTTTCCGTTTTGGTTTAATTGAAATATAATTGAACTAATTTGTGAGTGGAGTATCTCCTCATCCTCATGGTCGCTCTTCAGGTCATGCTTGAGGCAACAGTCCGCTTCACCTGTGGATTACTGCTGGTCCCTGCAGCTCTCTTAAGCATTCATTGGTCCCTATAGACTCTGAGTCTAACCATATTGGCCCATTGAGCTGGTACTTATGTGTCATCTGTTATCTGTTGGACTGGTGTTTGTGGTGGGCATATGAATGATAATCAGCCTTTGTGTGTGCGCTGAGGTGCAGCCGGAGCTGAGGGTGTGATGTTGCCTCAGGGGCAGATTAGGAGGGGCAGTCGGCCCACTGTGTCACGTCCACAGTCACAGCGTTCATACACGCAGCCCCAGAGGGACCTTAAATCCTGTTACACTGGCAGCTAAACCATCATTTGTATTAGACATGTGGGTGTTTAAGTGTGTACATATTAAGTGAGGGGAATGGTGTCTTAAACTATGAATAATTCATACTAAAAGAAAAGGAGATATTGACTACATCTCCATAAACAGACTGCTCTCTTTTTGTCATCAGGCACGAGATCTTTGGAAATAATTGTGTAAAAGCCCCTGAAAATAGGCTTGTGCAGAGACACAGCAGGCCCTGGTCCGTGTTATCATTGGATAAATCTGAGTGATGGCAATTGTTCAACTCAATATCTTATAAATAATTTACTATTTGAGGGTCCTGGCTCACAAAGCTAGAGCTTCATGAAAGTACAGCTGTGCCGAAACATTCATTGGTTTGAAAAGAAGCTCAGCATATTTATGAGCCACAAACATTTATAGTTTCCATGTTAACTTTTATATAGTGACACTTGTAGCCCATTACACCTAGTGATTTTCTGCAAAAAGACTATTTACACCAGTTAAGTTGTTTGCCAAGTAAACCTACATTTTCATGACGAGATGATGCAATTATAATGACTATTGTCAATATTTTCCTTTTTAATAAAGTATCAATGACTGTTTCACTTACATTTTGAATAAAACATGCAATGATGTGGGGCACAGTCAGGTTTTATTTAATGTAAAACTACAGTTGGCCATAATTGTGTGGTTATGGTGAGTGGGCTATTTGCTCCCATTATTTACCGGTAACAAGGGATTGTGGAGAACGAGCGTCTTTGCACTTCTGATCCGCGCCTCCAGAGGGAGGTCAAAACTATTTGTCAGTCTCCAGTTGGGATTGCAAATTAGGACAGGCTCCCTGCGTGACGACCCATGAGCCTGCTGGTGCTATCCGCGGGACTACTGCTGTACACTATTACATACATTGTAATAGGCAACGCTTTAATTCAAAAAGACACGTAGAATGTGAAGAGTAACCACGTTCAAATGTACGACTAAGTTATATTCTACCGGGTGGGGTTGATCATGCTCTGTTTATGTCTTTCTTTTTCTTTAAGGAACATGTTTACAAAGTTATGGGCGACAACTTAAACAGACAGCTGAAGCATATGAATCGAGTTATGAGACACTGTGGTCTAAGTTCGACCACACCTTTTGAGTTGTGAATGCATGGCCAATTTCCACAGTTTACTTGATGTTACGGTTATTCCGCTTTGAAGATGTTGTTCGCAGCTTTAAAGTGAAAGAAAATGTTTTCCTATTACTTAATTGAAAGAGTGTGAGGCGGGGGTTTGACGCGCCGCGCTCTGGGCTCCTCTATGACAGAGTCGCCTTTGTTGCGCCTATCCGCCGCTGTCACACACTTTAATTCGACTCTCTTTTTCTCTCATTGAAACCGCGCCACAATGACATTCAATAAGGGCCGCAGAGTGAAAACCTGGTTATTTTTACATATTCTTTGGGCCAACTCGGCAGGGGCCCGGCCAAAGGAATGAATCAGTGCTCTTTAACAGCGCAGCCTCCGGGCGATCGCTTGTCCTTTTTTGTGGACAGAAATGACACATTAACCTTCAGGTGGATATGCGTCAGCTTTACATTCAGCTGTTGCGTTTATGTTTGTGCTAAACTGTCACTAAAGTAGCCACACACGCAGGCCTCAATGCAGAGTATTAAGGATGAAATGAATGTGATGTGGCCAAATAAGACTCCGTTTGAAGACTAAAAAGAAAAGAAAAAGAAAAAAAAACACTATTGTATGACCCCTGTTTTATTAGCAGCATTGATTACCGTGGCAAACTGAAAATCCCGACGTAAACTTGGGAACACGTCCCTTATTATTCAACTTGAATTGTGAATGTACTGGATGGGCCTTTACTTTACAATTTTTTTATATCCCGTGCTAATAATGTTTTGTAGACTAATTTAACAGTAGATCACTTCAGTTTGCTTCATGAGAGTTTGTGCAGCTCATGATGAAATGAGATATGATAAAAGGGAGAATGAGCAGTGCCGCCTCTCGCGGCGTGGGTGGGGCTGACAAGAATAGACTACATTATGCAGTTCATTTAGTTAACAAGTGAAATAATGGGGAAGCGTGCAGTGGGAATGCCGAGAGAAAGGCACAAAACCCTATTGAGCGTAACCGTCACATGGCCGAACCGAGTCTACGCGGGTATTTAAAGCCTGAGCTGCGCGTTCAGCACCACTTCGCTGTCCACGCCTCCAGGACAACACTTCTCCAACACGCGGCTGCTCCTCTTTCGCCCTAGACTGAAACACTACAAGTTTACAACGATGCCTCGCTCTTTTCTCGTGGATTCTTTGATTTTAAGAGAAACTAATGACAAGGGGAGCGAGAACAACCCTCCGCTCTTTCCTTATGCGGTGCATTCTTCACACCACCCGCACGCACTGCCAGGAGCGTGCCACTCGCGGAAAGCCGGGCTGCTGTGCTTCTGCCCACTGTGCATCACCGCCACCCAGCTGCACCCATCACCGCCCGCACTGCCGCTGCTGAAGGCGTCTTTCTCTCCCTTCAGCTCCCAGTATTGCCCATCTCCACTGTCCCGCCACTCAACGAGTAACGGCGTCATGGGCCACGCGCCCGGCCTCTACCAGACGGCCTACTCCGTGCCAGACCCCCGACAGTTCCACTGCATCTCCATCGGTAAGAAGCTTTAACAATTTCCAAAACATTATACTGTTTCAGCATCCTCGTTTTTTTGGTTTGGCTCACAATGCGTGTTTATTTTTACAGACAGCAGTAACGGAAAACTTCAGAGCAGCAAACGCATGCGCACAGCCTTCACCAGTACACAACTTCTGGAGCTGGAGCGCGAGTTCACGTCCAACATGTACCTGTCCAGACTGAGACGCATCGAGATCGCCACGTACCTGAACCTGTCAGAAAAGCAGGTCAAGATTTGGTTTCAGAACCGCAGAGTCAAGCACAAGAAAGAGGGAAAGAGCAGTGGCCCACGGACTGGCTCTCACAACTGCAAGTGCTCAGCGGCGAGATGCTCAGAGGAGGAGGACGACGACATGCCCATCTCCCCGTCCTCGTCAGAGAAAGACGACGTGGACTTGTCTGTGTCGCCCTGAGCGTCATATCAACCCCAGCACTTGTTTTCAAAGTACCAAAAAAGACTGCTCCGCTGCTGCGGTCACCTGTACATAAACAGAGTTTTTTTTTTCTAATCAGGTCTGTCCTGAATATTGTATAGATGTATACATGTTGTACGCTTTTTATGTAGTTTTTTTCTGAAAACAGTCATATCTTTGTTGCAAATCCTATTGTAAGTCAGATTTGTAAACAAAACAAAAGCACAAAACCCTTATAAGAAAACAGTGTTGTGACTAACACTGTGGGGATTGAAAGTACTGCGTAAAAATGCTGTGATTAAAAACTGGTGATTTCGCCCGGCTGTCGATGACATAAATCTCAAATTATATCTTCAATGTGATGGAATAATATTTATTTATTTAAAATGTTGATAAATAAAATATTTCCGAGCTGTAAACTGTCTGAATTTGCTTGTCTTTAACGCGTCATTGCGCATTGCTGTCACTTTACGCGCGTAAAAACCTCGACTGCTGAGGTTAAACGAAGCTGTGAAAATATTCCATGGGTGACTTAAGATTGTAATGCTTACATTCGATAATAATAACAACAACATATACCTTATACTTTGAGAACAATAACTCTACGCAATTGGTGTGCGCGTAGCCTGCGCCTCAATAGTGTACTAATCATATAATGTTCAACACACATCTACAAGAACCAAAGACATGATGATAATAGTAAGGATATTGCTCGTCATTTTATTTAAAAGTTTTGACTTGGATTTCATCACTGAAACAAGACGGAGGCTGCAACCACTTTTAGTGCGTAAAAGTCAGTCCTCATGCAGCGGGGTCGTTATGCACGTTTCCCACCGGGACAAAGTCGTTTGTTCCTATATGTGGGACCAATAGTGAAGTGACCTGTCTCGTGTGGCTGCCTCATAATGACTATAATCTTGTATAATGTTGAGTGCATCTCTAGATATTGACAGCATGAAAATAAATGCAGGACAGAAACGGTTCAGTGTCAGTGACCTGTGCATTGTTCCGCTGTCAGCTCGACTCCCAGCTCAATGCTCTACTTTATTGATACTTCTGTGAACTCTGCCGAGAAGACATCACAAGTGATCCCATAGCTTGAAAAATGCAAAAGACAAACACAAAAACAGGACAAAAAACAAGAACAAACTTGTTCGTGCGCTCGGCGTCATCCGGCAGCAGAGACACTTATAGGCGGCTCATGCTTCCTATACAATTTAAAGGTGTTTTCTGAAGAAACTGGACGTGAAAACGTGTTCATATGTTCAATATATGTACACATTACTACATTCATATGCATTCATATGTTAATATCCATAGGTTAAAACGGTATGGCAGGAGCGCGTGGAACAGTTATGTGCCTTTTACGCACTGCCACTGCGCCTCTATAAATATAACCTGACACTTGGAATTGTATGCATTTGCTTTAGTAGGGTCTAAACAGTGTGTATTTCACAAAAGTTTGTGCGTGAGTTGTACTGACGGATATAATAAGATTGTTTTATGTTGTGCATATTGGGTGCATCTGGGAGCCTTTCGGGATGCGCGGGACCGATTGTAAATTTCCATTTAATGTCACTAAACGATTTTACAAACCTCTAATATTTGCATCTCATTAGATATATGGGATACGACCATTTTGTTAATTGCACCATAAAGCTCCTTTTTACTCACAACGCACTGCAACCCTTTATCCGCTCAATAGCCTGGGGGTATGCGCCCTGGGGGAGCTTATACGCTCCTTCTCCAAATGCTCAAATTATTTATTCTTAATTTTGTGCCGATCAATTCATTGAAGCAAAAGGGACTACGGTGTCTTTTAGAAAAGAATAAAAGGGGATTGTGGACCTAACCTTGACGGAGCAGAGAAGGGTTGCCCTGACGCTGGAGAGCCGCTTGAGTCAACAGGCGCCCATCTAGCAGACTCGCCCTTGTCTTTATTCTCCCTAATTTTTTATTTACGGCTTTTCTTTGACATGTCTCTTATCTATCAGATTAAAAGCACAGCTTGTAACAAATCAGTCTGCACGATTTACAACAGCATTAAAAGGGGACAAAGGGAGCAGGCAGTCAGTACCTGAGAGTCTGGTAGACGGCGCGGCGCTGCTGCTGATTCGATGGTTTGAAAATACGCACGAAACAAAATACTTGAATCCTGAAAAAGAGCCTTTGTACGTTTCTTTAGAAATCAAGCAATTCTGCATGACAAAGGACAATTAATAAGCCGTCTTTTCACGACCAGCAGCTGGTTTCCCCGTCAAGGAAAGTTGGAAAAAATTCAGACTGAATGCGCGCAAAAGCCCTTTGCGCGCAGACAGCAACCCAAGGTGACCCATTTGGCACAGTTAAAATAACCAAGCCGAAGTAAAAGCGAGGGAACTGTCAAAAACATTTAAGCTGAAATATCTTGAAATTGCAAATCCCTTTATGTGGAGGGACGCTGCCGATGTGGGTTAGTGGTACAAAGGAGGTGGTTAAGTTGGAGAGGCTTTGGAAACGGACACGTGGCTTCTCAATGAGAGCTCTTTTGGATCCGCGTGGCTTTCTGTGGCACTGCACATTCACTTTTAAACAGTTTAAATGTGTTAAGTAGAGTAAAGACGAGCTGTACTCCTCACTTTCAAACCATTTATATGATCTTAATGTATTGCAATGATTTATTTTTAAAATGCAACAACTTTTTAAAGCATTGTAAAAGTTGTTCATCGGCATTGGAATCCATACATTCCAACGTTTCTATCTTGGGAAATTGAAATCTCTTGTTTGATGTTAGGACGAAGTGTAACGTCAGAAAAAGTATTTTTAATATTACAAAAAATACTTGTTTCGTGATTCAACTTACTACAGTAAGCTATATCAATTCCCTCGATTATGAAAATAGATACAGTCCCTCATTAATCTATGTTCATCTGTGAACCGGTAACAAAGTCTCCTTACGAATACGTTAGTGGGACATATTTGGAACTCGTAGCTGAATAGTGTGTTAACGGCTCATCAGTGCGGGAGATGGAGTGGCACGCAGCTTTCCCCCCTCTAATTGAATATTCAACGCGCGCACCGTGCCTCGCCTCTGCGTGCCTTTTTCAGTGTGTGCACAGAATACGTCTTTTAATTCTATGCAACACCGCAGTGTCAGAGGTCGAGAAATAATGAACTGCGCGCACATGGAGTGACCCTGCGCTACCAAAGTATATAGGCCCATATACTCTGAATGCTACTGTTTACGCATATGTGGTAATAGTATTATAGTATCATCACAGGAGACCACGTGTCTGTAAATGGCTAGATTAGAATTTTCACCAAGTTGCTCAGTGGATTTTTGATCTGTGTTATGAATATAAAACTTTGATTTGACAAAAATGGGTTTGTATACTTCTTGTAATCATATTGCTCTCCTCATGGCGTTCATCTTCTTGTGCAACATTTTGAGGACCTTTTTTCTATTCAAAAGTTTCGAACATTTCGTTTGGAATTGTCAACTATTGCAACAATCCTCATGTTTCATGGCTTATACACTTATAAATATGTACATACAGGCTTATACATTGTATATGGCCCTGAACATCTTAAACTTCTGTGTTGAAACGCTCAAATCTCGCACACAAGGTTACTCAAATATGTCAGATGCTGCGTTTATCAATAACGGAGTTTTCAAAAACTTGGAAAATGTTTTCTCAACCACAGTCTCAGCAGTGTGGAACAGGTGCGCCACCTGCTGGTTTTAGGAAAATTCTACGCTCATGCTCAATATCAAGTTGTGCTTGAATGTTTACGCACCCAGGGAGAGATTAAATTTTTTAAAGTTCCTGTAAATTCCTGGTCTGCCTTGCATGAGGTTCACTCTTGAAAATATAAAGCACGACTTATTGGCTCCACATAACCACTAAAGATGAATGAAAACAGCTGTTTTGAGTTATCATTCACCATCTCCAAAATATTCCCAATTATTGACATTTCTGCCTAGGTGTGTAAATATAAAAGCACATCTGCATATGGACCCCCTTTAAAATGAAATTATACACAGTTTTATTCTCATATAACAGAACTTAGATTTTTTCCGCCAGCCTTCAGTTGTGGCCTGGAATATAGATTAATATAAGGTATTTAAATACTATGGATACTGTATATTTTTGTGTTTGTCCATGTTGTAAAATGTAAGTAAATTCATCAATCAACTTTGAACAACAATAAAAGGAAAATTCTCTTGACAAAAAACATAACATAACGTAATGTAAACATGAAGACAAAAGAGAAACGTGGAGACATCATCATCAAGTTTATACAATGTAACTCATGATATCTTTGGGGGAAAAAAACTGGTGTCTTTGTTGATCATTCACTCAACTTTTAAATATTATAACATGTAGTAAACCACGGTTGAGTTTGATTCTTTCAAGTCTATACAACACGTCAATATTTTTCAAATCAACAGATAAAAATAATGTTCCCATCCAATGAAATATAGTTACAGTTCTCCCATTTGCTATTATTTACTGAAACAAACTGTAGACATAGACACTGAAGATTGCTTTATTCGATCTGTCTATGGCTCCTGCTGTCAAAGATCATGGACCTCCTCTGGGGTTGGTAAAAGCAGCTGGTTGAGGTCTCCAGTCTTTGTCCGCTTTTTGGAATAGTCATTTTGTTTTGCACTTGCTCGGTTGCCCTGTAGCTCTCAGCTGATGTGTCGTTGAAACTCTTGATGGATGATAGGAGTTTCCCGTCATCACCAGAAGAAGGATAGTCCATGATGGGAAACGGCGGGCTCAGCAGGATCAGACTCTGAGGTCTCTGTCTGTTCCGAAAAGACGACCGCTGTAAAAGGTTGGACTTGTTTGGCCGAGAAGCGTCCACAAACACCTCGAGACTGGGTGTGTGCCGTCGTGTTATAACCGGTAACTCTGCAGCCGGTTCCGCTGTCTTCTCCTCAGCTTTGACAGTCTTAGGCTCTTTGTTTTCAAGCTCTTCTGTGAGTTCAGAAATCCCCTGTGGCGGCAGTGCATTGGTTTTCTGTAAAGGACATTCCTTTTCTTCTTCATTCACGGTGTCCTTTTCAAGTTTGGAGTGAGGTATCTGGCTGTACTGCACTTTCGGAGGGACAACGGGAACTGCTTTGGCCTGGCACGTTTTAATCATGAAGGCTGTGCGGACGGAGGACACACTGAGCGGTGCCGAGTTTCTTCTCATAGGTGCTTGGTTATCATTCAGAAATAAATCCAGCTCAGATAAGCAGTTATGTGCCGTCTCAGGCTGCGTCCCCTTTTGACAGAACTCTGAGGGACCTAGGTTTTGCTGGTTAGAAATGTCCCGGATGCAGCGGTCAAGATTAAGTGAGTATGGCCTGTGTCGTGAGTGAGTGTTATCCTCTTTTTTGTCCAAAGCAGCAGCCTCATGCGACATCTGTCTGTGAAACCGCTGAGACGATGCCGTGTTCTTGTTTTTGCTGTGAGACTTGTGAGCTTGCGATGTGTTGCCTGTCCGTGTGGGTAAATAGATCCGTTTAGCTTCTGTTTTACTGCCTGGAGGAAAATTCCCAGAGAAGTTCTTTGTCACAATGGGTTTAGTGGAGGATTTATTGATGCCTGATACCGGTGTTGAAATATGACTTTCCTCTAGGACTGTAGCACTCCCTTCGGACCAGGATGGGTCCAGCTGTTTGAAAAGCTCCTCTACATCAGGCGAGTGCAGTGGACTGGTCACCCACTGTTTAGTTGAGCTCAGATCATCCCAAGGCTCCATGAAGTCCAATTCCTCTAGGCGTCCATCCTCTTCCTCCAGCTCCAATATACTCCTCCTCTCCTCCACACATACTGAAAGCCTAGGCACAATATCAAGTTCGAGGACCAGATTTTTCCTAAGTGCCTCTTGGGATAGGCTGTTGTTTTTGTGAGCGTGTAAGCCAGGATTATCCAGTGGTTTCTGAGATAACGTATCATCTTGCTGAAAAATAACTGGTTTCTCTGTTACCTTATTGTTTAAAGCTTTTATATTGGGACCTGGTTGATTGGGTTTCTCTGTTTCCTTAGTGATTGCAGAGGGCTGTGTGTTTTCTGTAATGCCACACAGTTCGTCTTTGCTCTGAGAAAATAATAGATCAGATTCCGAGGTTTGTTTTTGATTGGATTTGGATCCATTCTTCTGATGTTTCAGCGAGGATAGTAAAGACATTTCTTTACATAATAGCGTTAGGGATGGAGAGCTTTGACTTCTTTTGGACTTGACATCAGGGGTCAGTTTATAACCATCGTACGACTTCTGTTTCCCAAAGACAGGCTTAAAAGTTTGGTCAAGTTGCTTAATTTCTGGTTCACTTGAGTTTAGTTCTGGGCAGAGATCAGCCCATCGTCCTTTCCCAATTGAAGATACAATTTCCTGTAAAAGTAGAGATAGAAAGAGAGAGGGTGAGGTAATTGTGGGTTTCATTTGTTGGACAGACAATTACTATGTTACAATTACAATGCATCTTCTTAATTGATATATAACATAGTTGTTTTTACCAGTTTCTCAGGTGATTGAATGTGTAGATCCTCTCCACAAGGGAGTGCTCTCTGACTTGCATTCAAACTGAATGAATCTTCAGATTCACTTCTTTGACTCCTTTGAGATCCATCATTTCTTGAATCTGAGTTTTAAAGAGATTGCTGATTAGTTATCTGAAGTTTGTCAAGAATAAAAGGATATCAGTTTACCCGTATAAGTCTGCTTACCCTCTGACTGGATGGAGCTGCCCTCCTCTCTGTTGATCTTCTCTTCTCTTCTCTCTTGCTGCTTCTTGAATTCCTGTGGGATAGTGTTGCTCTTCACACTGATTCCGGACTCAGGTATCTTTTTAGCCAGACTTCTACAGGGCGTGCTGTTGGAGCTGATGACGGCAGACACACGCAGAGGCACAGACACAGAAAAAGGTTCAGAGATGTTGAGAGCTCTGCGCTGGTGACGTGGGGAGGACTCCAGTGGGAAGAAGCTCCCTGGAAATGAGGGTCGTGATGAAGAGCTGTGGGATGAGTACAGTGTCCTCCTGTTTTTGGGAGAGGTGGGCTTGAACCCTTTCATGTCCTCTCCTTTGAACACCTTCAGCTGCTCTGGCAGTGTCCTCTGTGTCGGCAGGGATGTCCCCAAAGGGCTGTCCTGGTCCAAATGAGCGGTCCATCCTGCTGTCGCTCCGCTGGGTCTGATCCCTTTAATCTCCCAGGTCGGCTCATCTTCACTCAGGTCAAACAGAGAGTCTGAGCCCAGAGTCCGAGACTTAACATCTGGAGCAAAAATGCTGCCTGGTCCAATACGGGCTCCACTTCTGTCATCATCTGGGCACAAAGAGCAGATGTAAGTTATGTGCTTGATAGAGGCTGTTTGTTTGATTTCTTTTACCTGTTGGTAAAGAACACAATGACTCCATGCTCCTAGATTTTCTGCCTTTGGCCTTTTCTGTAATGACAATAATTGTTATCATTATTTCAGTACCCCTGCATATTGCACAGCTTTAAACACAATGACATACAACATAGCTGTCAAGACTTTCTTACCTGCAACCTCTTGTGCTCTGATGAATACACTGCCATTGCGACTCAGTTTTCCCTTCGAATCCACTGATTTTCCCAAATTAAAAATGGATTTCCACTTTTTTGACTTTCCTGAGAACTTCCTCCTAATGAAAGAAAGCGCATGTCATGACATTGTCTAGAATGAGTCTGGTGTGTGTGTGTTTATGTTTAAATGTTTAATCAAAAATACATTAAGGTAAATATCAACAGTTCATACTTGCTGTCTATGTCTATGACAGTGTGGTAGAGCTGGGCAGTGCTGGGGTCAGGTAAGCTGTTTTCTCTCTGACGCTCTCTGTGCACAGGATGGTTTGGACTTAGAGATCTCGCCTGTGCCTCCTCCAGACTCATCAGTTTCATTGGTCCTGAGGTTCCACTGATTGGCAGAGTGGCATACTTCTCCCCGCACATTAAACCTGGAAATGTTCTTTTGTATTAATTATCTTTCCATATTGTACATGCCGCTGTATCATGTGTTTGACCTCACCTTCTTTGGGTTTCACTTGGATTGAACCACCATTGAAGATCTGATCAGTGTGGTTGAGGATGAACTCAATGACTGACTGTTGGACTCGAACTTCCTGGAACGCCATGTCCCCATTACCACATGAAACTTCAATATCCTTTGACCTAAATGACAGATAACGATAACAGATTTGTTCAAAAGTTTGGTCCGGTCTCCCTTTTTTTAGAAATCAATAGCATTTACCTGAGCAGGTTAGGGGCCCACACCAAAGCCAGGTTTCTTGTGTGCATGTTGGTCTTTGTGCTCTGGGTGGCGAGGCGTGTCAGGTGTGTAGTCAGGTACTCCAGAGTCCTGTAGATCAACCACATTTATTCTGTGAAACCTTGTCTTTGTGAAGGTACTGTATTATAGTGAGAGTTTAAACTGTACCTGAAATGACCATGTGGCAGTTCTTTGATGACCTTTTGAATGTGGACAAGTTTCTCATGATCCCCTTGGACAGAAACAGCCTCCTGTGACAAAATAATTGAATATGGTGATCCTATGATATCATAAGGCACATAGAATTATTTCTCAATGGTTAGTATCAAATAGACAGTATTTATTCACTACACACTTGACCTTCAGGCAAAAGGAGCTTTCCTCTCAGTTTTTTCCCCTTGCCATTGCCCCAACACTGCTCTACTGTTTTCAAGTAGGAGGCAGGCACGAGTAGCATGAGAAATACTGTATAAATGCCCAGATATGCAAATCACCCGGATAAGTAAACAGAGCACTTCTCAGAGCAGCATTCCTTAAACCTCTCCTTCTGTGGACCAATTTACATCTGCAGGTAGGCTGTGCAATGCCGCCAAATAATTAAGTCCAAATGTATTGAGGCCAAAGTTAACAATGCAGTTGTTATGCACTGGGCCCACTGATGTACAGTGAATGTGAAGGCAAGGCAAGTTTTTTTGTATAGAACAATTCATACGCAAGGAAATGCAACATGCTTTACAAAACAGGAAAGAGAACATTCAAATCCTAATATGATCATATAAAAACATAAACAAATCCAAATATTTATTTTTATTATTATGAAATAATTCACTCATGTCTTATTTGATCCCCCCCCCCCCCCCCCCCCCCCCCCCCCCAAAATAGTATTATTTTGATGGCTAAGCGGGCCTACATTCTATGTGGTGTTGTTTATTTGAGCGATTTTGGGTTTTTTTTTTCTCGTCACAATTTCACTTATATGATCCCTCCGCATTTAAAACCACTGTCATAGTAGAAGCCTGTATCACATTTTCAGGATAACTGTTCCATACTTTAGGTGCATTCATCTGAAATGCTGACTGTAATCTACTACCTCATTTTATTGATTTGGATACTCACGGTAAATTTGGAGTAGAGCTCATACGTGAGCAGAGGATTGGGAAGCTCTCTGAAGTACATCTTACACAAGGATCCCACACAGTGGATGTCCTGGAGGTACACTTCCTTTGTAAGATCAGGGCAGGTCTCACAGCAGAACTCCTGCCTAAATGCACATAAACACACGTTTAACACACTACACTACACAAGTAATAAATGGACAATTATGATCAGAATGTATTTGTAATAATCATGTACAAATGAAATGTCTCTTTAAACCACTACTCTGAACTTGTGGTTTCTGGAATGCAGTTAAAATCCAGACATGTTGGTTTGAATGAGATGCATTCAGTTTAAACTTAAGTGGGATTCATGACTAGTTGTCTGGTGCATTCCTTGAATTATTACAGATGTGGGAGGTACCAAAGACGAGCCTGTTCGGCTTATGCTAAGCCTGAAAAATGCAAGAGAAAAAGTCAGCTCATTTGATTCAGCAAGATTTGTAGTTCTTGCAGCTTCCAACAGCTTCAGCAAAATAAAACACATCTATGTTATTGGTCTGTAGTAAAATGGTGAATATATTAAAACTTTTTACCTGAGACGCTGAATGTTTGATGTGACACCAGAGAGTCTGTAGATCCCATCCACAATGCCATTTTTCTCTATGAACTCTGCACACTTCTTCAGAACCTGAGGGACTATAGACGATCAAACATTAACACTGTAACAAAAGAGGTTTTGAGTTGTGGTCTAAGCACATCTTCAATTCTCTATGGCACGATTAGGAAACGATTGCACATGTAATTGTACTTTGTGGCTTTGGGGTTCTATTCATGAGGGTCTGATGTAGGTGGACATTGGCAGGAAGTTAAAAATGGTTTGTTTGTTTCAGAGGAAGGCTGACACACCCAATCCTTGTAGCCGGTATTACTTACGACATTTCCTCTAATAGAAAAGTGCTTTTGAAATTTTAACCACTGGCCCACACACAACAGCCCTGATATATCAGATTCAGTTTGTTTGGATACAGCATGTGATTTACACACTGACTTTGGTCTGGTCACAACTTCCTCTTTCTCGCACCCAAAATGATGATGATCGTATAATACTGAATCTGGGAAAACATTAGGTGCTTTTCATTGACAGTGAAAACAATGCTGACAGTGGGTGTCATGGTGAGATCATGAAGATGTTGAAACATTTAGATCCAGTGTGATTCAAACCATGTTCATTAGAAAGAGGAATGGAGTTTTTATAGCTCAATAGAAAAAACCCCATAAGTTAGTGATCTCTTACTTTGAAATAAAGAATGAGAAACGTTTCATCTGGTGGCACAGTGTGTACCGCACTGTACACAGAGTTATGCAGTAATTGTTGCCTCTTGTTTTCAAATTGTACCTTTTATGGAGGACAAATTGCTGTAACACATTTTCATTTTTCAGTCAACTCTGCCTGTTTTTGGAGACTTCAAAGAGTGTACATGAACATAAGCCAATAAATGGTATAATTTTCTAAACCTAAGAAAGTATTTTAAGTCCCAGTAATAGCAGGAGACACCAAGAATCTACAGCACTTACATTCTCATGAATTAGGTTTAATTAAGACTTTTGGTGACATGCCTGTGGTGTAGCCCTGATGAGCAGCCCCAAGGACTTCAACTGCTCTCTTTGTTGTGTGCACAGAGAAAGACTGGAGAAAAGTGAATAATGTGGAACACAGACAGCAGTTGTTTGCTCTCGATAGTGAATGAGGAGGTTGCAGCTTCTCAATGGCTGACTTTACTGAACTGTCCTCTTGTCTAGCTTTGTTTACATACTATAAACAAGAGAATAGTGTGTAGAAGTGTCATTAGGGACTCGGGTTCAGTCTGAGGCCATATTTATTAAATAGCTGTGGTCTGATTATGTTCGAGTCCATTATCTTTTCCAATCTGCAAACTTGCACTTGTACTCATATTGGAAGCATGAACACTAATGGAGGTAATGATTCACTGTTGAAGTTAGAATAATTGTGCATGTTGAACTGCTGTCTCATACTGAACTGTGATGATAAAATAAGTGAATGTCATACACACAACACATACTGTCGGGATAAAAAATCCCTCTAAGAAAATAATTGTGTTATTTAGCACATGTTGTCTCTAACAGTCCTGTGTAATTCAATCTAAGCTAAGCATTCTGTAATTACAGTTTTTTCATTTAAATGTAAAGGATATGAGTTGGTCGGCATCACTTATTTCTGTTTCGTCCTAGAAAACTGAATGAAGGAGGTTCTTTCGTCTGAATATACTTTCTAGATAATATATCTGTATCAGTGGTGGAGAGACAACAAGTCTTTTGGACATCCACTCCATGGAGCACAATGGGACACCTCCTTCCTCACTTCCTGTCCCGCTCACCCCGCCTCTCCGTGCTCATGTCCACTCCAGCAGCCTCTTCCTTAAGTTATTTTCAACCCTATTCATTCAGCCTGTCACTGCACATTGTCAATTTTATCGTTTTCAGGAAATGTTGTCAATGTTAAAAAGGTACCAGCCATTGTGGGTCTGAAACAAGAGCCTAATTGGAACTCCTTTGTCATACTTTTAAAAGTGTTCTCGTCTATTCCGTCACCGCCCAGTTTTCTGTCAGTAATATAAAACAGTCAATGTAGTCTTTTAAAATATGAGAGAGCCTCACCCAGAACTTTTAATCCTGCCAGTGGAGAATGAATGAGCGTGCATAAACTAAAACACATGTATATTTTCACTGCACTATGCCATTGGCTGAGGCACCCCAACCTTTACTGACTATTTATTCCATTTTCCAAGCCTCATCCACCTGGGATCATTTAAGCTGTTCTTGATATAAATAATATTCCAAACTCTCTGTAATCTTTACCATCATGTCCTGTGCTCTGTAGATGCTCGATCAAGTCACAGCCGAACACATTGTCAGTCACATTCTTCTTCTTGGACTTCTGTTTCGCTGTTTTATTCCTCATGTGTCTTCTCTTAACGCTCCCAATGACAAAAACCTGTATATCCTTTCCACGGATCCATATGTTAAAGTGAAAGGGTCAGAAAGATGGTAAATCTCAGCGTGGAACCCCCGAAAAGCTTGCATTCGCTCCCAGTTGTTCTTCAGAAATGACGTCACGCTTCAGTTGGTTGATGATAGTTGTGATCTTGATCTTTAGATGCTACTTTGGCAGTAGGACGTGGCAGCACTCTTCCTCCGAAGGCTTGAGCAGAAACAACACTAGACTGGCCTGGAGTTTCCTGTTGTTTTTTTAGCTCCAGTTCAGTCAGCCTGCTCAGTTTTATCTCCTCCTCTTTCCCTTCGCTCTCACAGACACACAAGCGCCTTTCACATCTGCACAGAACCACCACACACCACCCAGCTCTAAAACTCATAAAGCCAGCACTTCATAATAACTGCAGCTCAATTAGCCACAATAAAGCACAAAGAAAGACCGGATTGTTTATCAAAAGTATTTCTTGTTTATATTCCCGGACCCCTTAAAGCCACTACACCTAAAAATATTAACAATATAATCCAATCTATCTAACTAGTTCATACCTCTCGAAAACGGCATGTATTTTCAGCATCTGTCACATCTTATTTAGATCAGCTTTTTCAGGCAGAAAAGTGAAACAGAGAGGTCCACCTTCACTCAGCCAATCAGCTCTCAGCCCAAAGTGTCAACTCGTGACTCACATGGATCTTTCTCACACGTATGCAAAAGACTTCCTTGTGGGTTGATTTGTTCATGACATTTTATTTTTATAAGACTCTTTCTGTTTAGACGACGCTCCCATCTCTGTGTGGAGTGAGACACAACAATAAAAAAAGTAAAGTGCTTTTTTGACACTGGTGTCTTGCACTTGTGTTGAAACTGTTTTAGTCAATCAATTTCACATAGATTTTTTTTCTAAATTATGTAAATAGAAATTGTGGCTCTAATTCTTCACAGAGGACATAACTTGTATCTACAGCTGTGCTCTTATGTTTACATAGTCTTAATACCAACAGAAACCACCATAATAACTTAGATATGTTTATACAATTTTATTTATAAAACTACTTGTTCTATTTGTACAAATCATATTTGATAAGGGTCTGGTTAAAGTGCTGAATTTGGATATTTGGGTGATTATCCAATCAGAAAGTAGAATTATCATGACAACTCATTTGAGTTGCCAGACTATTTGGTGAAATCTATCTGGTGTGTAAACAAAGGGTTGGATTATAATTGTAGTGACTTTTCTGAGCCAGTATAAACTACATACTGTTTCTATAATTCTGTGCAATTATGCGGCTATAAACATAAATTAATTTACATTGGTTCGTTATTGTATATTGTGCAAATATAGCCCACATCAAATTCTATCCATTGACAGAATAGAAGATTCTTTATAATTACTCATAGATGTTTGAAGGCTTTTTACACCTCTGCAAAATTGCACACAAAATTATCTTATCCAAACAGCGGTAGAAAGTAGCTGGCGCAGCTCTGCGCTGCGTAAAACTTATATAATTTAAATGTAGGAAGCTTTTGACCCCTGTACATAATCCAGAATCTATTGTGCCCAAACTTAACGGGAAAGTCAGTCCTCCGGTGCCTTTCCTGAATGTGCTCAGTGTGTACGGTTTCCTGTTGGGAGCGCCAGGCCTAAAAACAAAAACACACGGAGGTTCTGAGGGGAAGAGGGAAGTGGGAGGTGCCTGGAGCAGGAGGCTGAAGGACACCGAGGGGAAACGGGGGACTGTAAGGGGGGCCCGGGTGAGGAGACCCACGCCACATGGTTCTTGTTAGGAAGAGCTATGCATTTGGACATTTTTGAAGCATGACGTCACAGGCTACACTATTTCAGGGTATTGAATCAGTGTTACATGTTTGAGACTCCAGGGTGTGACTGGCTCTTTAATTGGAAAATTCTCAAAGAACCAACAAGCCTAAATGTTTAGTCAGATCATTTCTTAGCTGGAAGTTAATTCTCACCTCAGGTATTTGAAATACATCCTGATTCAACTAACGCACTGCAAACCAGATTTTTTTTAAACCATCTAAAGCTGGAGTACCTGATATTTTCGATGTAATAATGTCGAGCTCCCAAAACTGTTTGTAAATGTACCCACTGTGGGGTGAGGGATATTTTTATTTTAATCAATCACTAGTTTTCACATGCAGTATCTTTTCAGACAGAAAAGTGAAAAAGAGAGGTCACCGTCACTCAGCTCACTTAGTGTGTAACAGATACAAGGATTTCTAATAAGATAGAGACAGCTTATTATTTGAACAAGACTTGAATATGTTTCTGTTGGGACAAACAAAATGTATTTACGAAACAGAATTAAGTGAAGGTACTCCAGCTTTAAAAGCCGTTAAATGTTTTTTTCTAGGATATCACAGCTTTTACAAATTAATTGTAATAAAACAACTAGGTCAGGTGATTTTTTTATTTTTTGCAGGTCGTCTTATGGTGTTGAACTCTGATCACATGAAACCAATATTCATGGTCTTCAACTTCCTGTTTCATGCCACTTTCCTCTTCCAGAGACAGATAAGATAGACTTTATTGAGCTCACACTGGAGAAATGTTATTGTTAATCACTCATATTCATTTAACAGGTTGATGGATGTACCTCTAACTGTAACGTGCAATAACCAAAGCCTGGCTATGCAAATGTGTTTAAATACGACAGCCCTAACAGCCCCCTCTGTGCTGAAATACAGATAGATGAATATCATTGTATTTAAAATTAATACAAAAATAAATATTATGTAATAATATAATAATACAAATATTCATTAATATTGATGTTCATTAATTTGTTTACCAGAACTTCAGTTGGTTAAGAATAATACTGATAATGATAATAATAATCATTCCAGTGACAGTGAAAGGAAAGGTATAACATAAAATAGATTATATTATTCATTCATTGAAAATAATAACAAGGCATTAAGGCATTAAAGTTCATTAGATTTACTTTAAGGCGATATAGTTAATTGTCCAGTCGTTAAAGACAACAGTTCAGTTAGAATCATAAAAGGCAGACAAATGGTTAAAGCTGAGAGTAAATAATCTTTATTTATTTATATAATATATATTATATATATATTAAGCCTAAAGTGCTTTACAAGCAATCAAAAACAGACAATAAAACATACAAATGGTGCAAATACATATAAAACATATTGTATACAAAAAATACAGTAAAAAAGATACAATTTAAAACAATTAAAAGATAAATGCTTCAAAATAATATAAAGATAAGATAATGGAAGATATTTGCACCAATAAGGTTGTATTTATGTTAAAATGGACTTCAGCATTTGTCAAGTCTTTATTCTTTATTTACTTTTTTACAGAATTGTATCAAAATAGGTTAAATCGAATCTGCCTTTTACACGCCGATGCTTTAACAGGCAATAAGTCATTGTATATGTATCATCGTGGCTTATGTATCAAGGTTTGTTTTGTATCGGTAAACTCTGTTAAACAGATTCTCGAGTCAGGAAACATGAGTGAACAGCAACATGATGCTGGAGAGAGTTATACATGAACATAATACTGTTAAAGATATACATTAAACAACTTTATACTGCATATCAGAGGATATTGGCAGCTTTCCCTTTTTTAGGCGTTAGATCCAAGATTATCCGAAAATAGTCATGAGACAAAATTCATATGACCTGAAGCTAAAACAATGAACTAAAGTTTTATCCAGTGACGCCAGACTATAATGTACTGTAGTGCAACATTCTTTAGGAAGAGAAATAAACATTTATTATGATTTGTTTCGGTCCATGTCTACAGTGTACTCACTGTTACAGACAGTTCATCACATCTAAATGTAGAGTTCTGTGTCTTTGCATAAGTTAGTAGTTGTGGATTCTTCATACCGAGGGAATTACTACTGTTATATTACGGTACTACGCCTGTATCTGTGTCATTATTTTTGGGATGATATTTGAAAGTAAAAAGATGGTTAAACAATATAGATTCAACAAGATTCCTTACTCCAGGTCTGTATTCGTCACAAATAACTATAATTTACTTTATTGAGTTGTACATTTCTGGCATTTGTGATATCTCAATGATTCAGATTGTGGTGCAGAGTCTGTTCTGTTTATCAGATAGATATCGGAGTGTTTTGTGAATGTCACATGTGAACACGATGACCAGGCCAGGCCTTGGTGGGACAAAGGGCTGTATTCTGCTCCATAGGAAGAGGAGGTGACATCATTCTGTCCAGGCAAACACTCAGACACCCTGCTCTTTCTCTGCACTGGCTAAAGACATGTCAGAGCTGCAAGCTGATAAGAGTTCTTCTGTTGCATGTTTTCAGCATCATGTCATGTTTCAACTTAATTAGTGCAAGGGAAAAATGATTTAATAATATTTTATAATGTTACTTCAAATACATCTGAAGTGTTTGTGCCTGTATCTTACCTGTAAAGTGTACTCATCTTTCTGCTCTTCCAGCTCTGTTGCATCATGTGTGCCAGCTGCTAAATGAGAGAGCCTCATGTGATGCTAATTCAGCTTTCTGGTTGGATAAACAGTTTCAGAACCAGATATTGTGTGTATTAAGTGCTAACCACTGTGCTGCTTTTTTTAGTCAGTATTGTCCGCCGCAGTTCTTTTGCATTGTTTAAGATTAGAAGATAAGATCAGTTAAAAAAAAGAAAATAGGGTTTTGTGTCACTGAAAGCAAGCAAATCATCTAGGAAAATACCATTTATTTTATTCACATTATGTGATGAGATAATGAAACAATTCCCTTTTTCTGCCAATTTTAAGATTACAAAAGAAAAAGATTAAATTAAGACAGCACCCAATCATTTTCACACAAACATCCACTCTCTCAATGCTACGATATGCCAGGAATCACATTCTTGATTTTTGTTCCATAAAACTAAACAATGGCACAGTAGAATGTTTCACTTTTTCATGCACTATAGTTTTTTAGTGAGTTCAGTGTAGAAATTAGATTCAAGTTTGTTTAAACTTTGAATAATTAAGTTATTTACAGACATTCAGCAGTTACAGTAAGTTAGATAAATATATTACATTTCATTTGCAGCATGGGATCGAAGTAATAGTTATGTAGAATAAATGCATTTTGTCTTGGACCGACAATTTGAAACACAACATACAACTTATTCCCATCACCCTTAAATATAAGGACCTTAAACATTATTAATACCACAAGCAAATGGATCAACATTTAAAAATAATATTAAAAAGGTGCATTTAAAATAGAACAGATTAATATTTCACATAAAAAAATGTGAATTGGCTGCTACAGGCGGACATCCTCCGACCAGAAATGTCATTCAGCACAGCGGAATGTATAAAAATATAAAAAGAATAAAGAGGTTGTTAATAAGGTAGTTCTCAACCAAGGCTTAAGTATTTTTGAAATTGCTCATAATCTTTTGTTTGAAGTTGATATAAAATGAAAGCATATAGTGATAATAAAAAGATTTAAAAATCTGTGAACTTCAGTTCTACATGTAACAACAAAACAATTCAATTCAGGATTTGTTTTAACATTAAGTGTTAAGAAGTGTTAAGTTAAGAAAGTGGCATTTGAGTTCAGTTGTTGCACACAGTTTGTTCACAGCAGCCATCCCAGGCTGAATAACCGTCAGCTGGGCGTCCCAATGTCCACAGTCACATTCACGTAAAGAGGCGTCCTCTCCACAGACACAGTCTTATAGGAGCAGCTGTTCAGACCGTCCTTCTTCCAAACACGCGGTGTTCGGCCCAACAGCCTCATCCTGAAAAACAAACAGTTACATATAATTTGCGTAAAACTCACACTTGGTACACAACAACTTATTCCACACCTGTCTTTATTGATTTCATTTCCACTGTCCCGCTTGTGGAAAACCATAGTGTAGCGAGCTACATTTGCAGGAGGCCGCAAAATTTTCATTTGCTGAAGCTCCACCCTGATTAAAAAAGCTCCAATCATCAACAGCCACATTTATCACCATTGTCATAGAATATTTGTATTTACCTAATACGAAGATCATCATCCTCTCCACCCCAACCCCAGTAAGTGTTTGAAAACCCATTGACTTGGAAAAACTGGTCTTTAGTCAGGGCTGTGACACCTCCAAAATATCCTTTATAACGCAACCTGGGGATAAAGAAAAAAAAGTATTTGTAATTGTAAAGTGATGTGGAAAGTTTATTTATATTTGGCTTACTTGTATCCTGTAGCATTACGACCAACCACCAAGTGTTTAGGCTGCTTGTCACACAAATATAAATTATGATCGTTTTCAGGCACAAGATCCACATCATGAAAAATGAAGCAGTCCCAGCTGTGGTCCTTCAAAGCCTCCAAATAGCCCACATTTAGCAACTTAGCTCGATTAAAAGTTGCATCTCCAGCCTAAAGAAACACAGACCACAATAAAAAGTACCACATTTTTGTGCATTGTGGTTTGAATACTTCAAATCTTCAAGATAAAAACAGTGAATACTGGCTGATAGGAGGGGCAGAGGATGGTTGTAGCTGTGTACCAAGGGCTTGGGTGGTATTGATAAAACACTGACCTGCTGGATGATGTAGATGGCGTAGTGGAGCTGCTGTCGCTGTAGAAAGGGGTGGAGGTGGTGCAAGAGGTAGAGCAGATGTCTCTCTCGGTGTCTGTGTGGGATGAGGATGGCCACGCTCTGTCTGGAGTTACATTCTTTAGGCTCAAAGGTGCCCTCCACCACCGCTTTGTTTTCACTTTCTACTTCCTTTAGTGTCAAAGACGGCTCGAAGGTCAGCTGGACGGCTCCCTCTGTACCGGATGAAAACAAGATAGTCACAAGTGCCTCACTCTCTAAACTGTTTGCTTCTATCGCTAGTTTTCTCATCCAAGTATTTTCGGACCCAGGCACATTTTTAGATCAGCGACAAAGACAACAAGCCTCAATATATTTTCTATTAAAATGAAGTCAGCATGTTGTGCTCTCATTTGCTGACAAAATATTATTTAAACAAGACTCTCTCTGCTGGGATAAACTGCATGTATAATAAAACAAAGAAGTTAGGAACTCCAGCTTTAAGAGAGGCAGCTATTCATCTCGTTTACCTGGAGCATTAAAAACATAATTTGATTAAATTGGCATATTCCACCTTGGATAGCACGAGTTTTTCACGTCATTAGAACACAGTACATTTCATTATAAAACCTAATGCTAAATAAAAACGACTTCCATTCACAACTGATTATTTTTATTATAACTCTGTGTTGAATAACTCTAAGATTATTCAATATTTCCTCCCGCATTATTTTCTCATAGATCATAGTCCGCTTCATCGTAGGTTTGCACTTTGTAACTGGGGCATGGCTTTTTTGAGAAAAATGTAAAATGGTTACATTGTTTGTAAAATTGTTTTACATTGTTAAAACCATGAAGTATCTAGGGTGCAATGTGGTGTTGGAAAGCTTCTAAATCCAAAATATTTTTAAATTTGGTTCATTAAACAGAACTATTGACCTGTCTCTTTTACTGATTTATAAACGGGATTTTTTTGTTGTAAATTTCTTTCCACTTGAGCTTATTGATGACATCAAACTATCAATTTTAGTCAACTATTCATAGTTAATTGAAGAATTGTTTCAATGTTTTTGCTGATTGTCATACAAGTCTGTCATGGTTCGAGAGATGAAATATTTCAAATTGAACACCAGATGTCACCAAAGGATTTCCTCTCACTGTTTGTACTTGCCCATTATCTTTTTTTTTAACAACAGAACTATTTCCTACAGGTTTGAGCAAAGGAAAATAGGTGAACTTACTGAGCAGTGGCGACTCCTTTGGACAGTCATGCTTTGAAGGGATAGTTGGCACATTCTTTGCCACTAATGTAGCAGAAAGTAGGCTCTCCCTCAGAGTCTCTCCTCTTACATGAGTCCTTGGAGAGGCGGGGGAAAACTGGATGCTTTTAAAAGTATCACCTGAAAAGGTTGCTATCCAGGCAAGCACTGATAATGACAGGAATAAAAGAAAGACATATTTCCCACGACGCAAAATCTTACAGATAGATGTGCAGAGCGCCATGGTAGAGGAGGGTGCGGACAAATGTTGATCTATAAAATGTCTTCTTCAGCACAAGACATGTCACTGACAGTCATTCAAATGATATTCTCTTATAGGATACTGAATTGTAAGACAGGCGACTTCAACTTTGTGGATGCTGCACAATTATTCCAGGATTTCTGTAAAAGAGTTTATGAAAAGATATATGTTAACATTACTACAGAGTACAGACACATTGACACATTTCCATCAATAGGCTATAGTAAATGTGATACTCAACTGACAAAAGCCCTGAGTAAAAATGAGGTCCAAACAACAATAGATGCCATTTAAACCTCTCTTCCCGTCTCACATGTTTCCTTTCATTTGAGGACAAACACCAATAAAGGGGCCAATAGAGTGTGGTAACGTTAGCCTAGTGGGTCGCATTACAAAGGTTCATGTCTTCAACACTAAAATAGGAGAATGGTTTTGCCAACGTAGGCATTGTGGCTTTGGATACAATTTTATATTTGCAAAGAATAACAACAATATTATTTGGCAAGTCATATTTCCTGTAATTTCTATTACTAATAGACATTCATATATTTTGTTTTGATACTTAAAATGATATCCCAAAGGACTTACGTTAATACATAATTAGAGCAGATAACAATTAAATTATTACTAAAATGGTTTTAATTATTTAAAAAAAATCTTTGTTCAAGTAGAAATGTAACTACTACTCCCATAGAATGTCTCTTGGGAAGTTTCCGTCTTTTGAATATGTGTCTTTTAAAATACAACAAAAACAATCTCCTCCAATACTTTTCGTTGTCCTATACAAGCCACCGCAGTCATGTCACAGTTTTATTGATAATTTTACAGAGTTGCTTTCAGTTGTATGCACAGATTTTGATAGTTTAGTTATTACAGGTGATTTTAATATTCATGTGGATAATGTTGATGACAGAAATGCTAAAGAGCTGAGTTCTGTTCTTGAATCTTTTGGTCTCACTCAGCATGTGAGTGGCCCCACCCACAGCAGAGGGCACACTCTAGACCTGTTAGTTACAAAGGGGGGTGAACATTTCTAATGTAAACGTGGTCAATGTTGCGCTTTCGGATCATTTTTGTATATTTTTTGACATGTGTTTCACTAACAAACCACCAGTGGACTCTGCAACTGTACGAAGAAGACACATAAATGAAAATACGGGTGAACTATTTATGGGAATGATAAACTTTGAGAATGCATCGTATTCTACTGTAGATGAACTGTTTAACTCTGTCACCTCTAGTGTTTTGAAAGTTCTGGACACCATCGCTCCTGTGAAGGTTAAAATAGTGAAAAATAAGCAGAAGGCGCCGTGGGCTAAAGCAGACTCGGTCAGGGCACAAAAGAGAGAGTGCCGGAGGGCCGAGCGGAAGTGGCGCAAGTCCAACCTCCAGGTTGATTACAAGATCTTCAAAGATAAGTTGTGCGAGTTTAACCAGGTGCTACGTAGTACGAGAGAAGTATTTTTTCTGAAATGATTGAAGGCTGCAGCAACAATCTGCGTGTTCTGTTTTCAACAGTTAATAGATTAACAAACCCCCCTGTTCAAATGCCATTAGAGCTAACTTCAAAACGTAAATGTAATGAATTTGCACATTTTTTCAATGATAAGGTTCAAGGCATCAAAAACGCCATTGTCTCCAATCCACAGATAACAATCCAACAGCCAGAAAGGCTCTTTGAGCTAACTTACTTTGCACCTGTAAATGATCAAACTGTCCAAGAGATAATCTCCAGTTTGAGCTCCTCCACATGCAGCTGGATGTACTACCCACTAGATTTCTGAAGTCTGTTCTGAGCAGTCTGTTACCTTCACTCACACAGATAGTAAACATGTCCCTTAATTCTGGAATATTCCCAAATGCCCTGAAAACTGCAGTCATCAGGCCCCTGCTAAAAAAGAGCAGTCTGGATGCTACGGTACTTAACAACTATCGTCCCATCTCAAATCTGCCATTTATGGGGAAAGTCCTTGAAAAAGTTGTCTACCTACAGCTTACTAGATTTCTTATAATCAACAACTCATTTGATATGTTTCAGTCCGGCTTTAGACCCCACCAAAGCACTGAGACTGCTCTCCTCAAGGTTACAAATGATATCCGGCTGAACACTGACGCAGGCAAAGTCTCAATCCTAATCCTGTTAGATCTGAGTGCTGCCTTTGACACCGTCGACCATGAGATCCTCTTACAGAGACTAGAGGACTGGGTTGGCGTCGCTGGCACCGCCCTAAGTTGGTTTAGGTCCCACAGGGGTCGATCCTGGGACCTCTTCTGTTCAATCTCTACATGCTGCCGTTAGGTCAGTTAATACGCAGAAACTAAGTGTCCTATCACAACTATGCAGACGACACTCAGATCTATGTCTCACTGACTGCAGGAGAACATGGACCAGTGGACTCACTCCTTCACTGTATCCAACAGATCAGTGAGTGGATGCAAAACAACTTCCTTCAGCTAAACGCAGACAAAACTGAAATGATTGTCTTTGGTCCCCAGAAACAAAGAGAGAGCGTCATCTGTCACCTACAGTCTCTCTCCCTAAAACCTTCAAACAAGGTCAGAAATCTAGGGGTAATACTGGACTCAGACTTAAATTTTAATAGCCACATCAAATCAGTAACATCAGCAGCTTTTTACCATCTAAAAAACATTGCCAGGATCAAAAACATAGTGTCTAAAGCAGACTTGGAGATTCTTATCCATGCATTTGTCTCCAGTAGGTTAGACTACTGCAATGGCCTGCTCACAGGTCTGTCCAAACAGGCTGTAAAACAGCTGCAGTACATTCAAAATGCAGCAGCTCGAGTCCTGACTAGAACCAGGAAGTACGACCACATTAGTCCAGTCCTGAGGTCTCTGCACTGGCTTCCTGTGGCTCAGAGAATAGACTTTAAAAACAGCTCTGCTTGTGTACAAGTCTCTCCATGGCCTCGCACCAAACTATATTAGTGACATGTTAGTCCCATATGAACCAGCCCGGACTCTGAGGAGCACAGGGACTGGACTCCTGTTAGTGCCCAGAGTCAGAACTAAACATGGGGAGGCTGCTTTTCAGATTCATGCTGCTAAAATCTGGAACAGTCTTCCTGAAGATGTGAGACAGGCCTCCTCTCTGACAATGTTTAAGACCAAGTTAAAAACGGTTCTGTTTAGCTGTGCATACAACTGAGGGATTTTATATTTTTATCTTTTTTTAATGTACTGTGATTATTTATGATTTTAATGCTTTCTTGTTCTGTTCAGCACTTTGAATTGCCTTGTGTATGAATTGTGCTATATAAATAAACTTGCCTTGCCTTGCCTTGCCTATCCCTGTAATCCTATTTATACCAAATGTGACGTGTACATTTCTTCATTGTTAAATCAATAAAGTTGTTCTTATCTTATCATAGAGTAGTAAAGTCTTGTTAGGTCATGATCACTTCGCTTGAACTTGAAGAAATAGTCGAGCCCTTGCCTGTAAGGGCACCAAGTCTCCCAGAAAAGATTAGCAAACATCATTATTAACATCTAATTAAAGTCATTTGAATAGGCCTTGCTGTTATTCTGTGTCATTGCCGCTAATCCCCCTAAAACCACACATCTCTGCTCTTGAACAGCTTGGGCGGCCTTGTTTGTCACTTCCTCCTTAAGAAATAAATACAAGTTCATAGCTCGTCCATCAACAGGGGAAAAAAATCGATTTGTCAAATTAACTACGACAATAAAGTGTGCCTCTAAAGAGTGAAGAGATTTATTTTTGTAGTTAATTGTGTGTCCCGCAGAGGAAGAAATAGACTGATTAGCAGTAGACCAACATTGGCAAAGTGGTGTGTTTGCAAAAGCTGTGTTTTTACAGACAAAATAAGTCATTACAACAACATAAGATTGATTTTTTCATGAGCCAAAATTTGAAATGATGAAATATTTCTACATGGCAACAGT